GGTTTTTCTAGTGAATTTCATTTACAATATCATTTCAGGGTCACAGAAATCCTAAAAATAGTTCATAAATAAAAATATTTTCCTCCTTTATGAAGTTCTATGGCATGAATTTTGATTGAAATTATTAGCGGTTACACAGGCTTTCTCATCCAGTAAAACAAATCATGCCAAAGTGATAGTTTAAAAACTATTAAGACATAATGGTTCACAGAAGCTCTTTTATTCATTTGGGAGGTTAAGGTCTCATGAAGATCTTGAGAAATGTATCTTGAAGAACATTCTTAAGTTGTTAAATACAGTAATAGGAATATACCTTTAATCAACTTTTTGACATCCATTTGGGAAATTAGTTATATATTTGAATTTAATTTATGTAACAACCAAGAGCAAAAGAAAAAATATATATAGATAACTACATTATTGTATTTTTAAATTATTGTTTCATGTAATCATAGTTAACCCTATTAAAAATGTTCAAAACGAATGTATTTGTGCTAAAATTCACCAAGTAATACATTTAAATTTTCTTGATCAATATGTTTTACTATTATAGGAAATATAGAACAATCCATCATATTGTGCATTCCTAACTATAGAGTCAAAAAAATCGCCATATCCTATGAACTATACTAACCAATAAAACTACAAAGATTAAAAAGAAAAATCACAGAATTGTGAGGCAAGAGGCCGATGCACTGACTATACTAGAATCCAGGCAAGATATGGTGATTTCTGTGGTTTGGATGGGGATGTGCCCTCAAAGCCTCACCTGTTGAGAGGCGGAGCTTCAGAAAGGATTACGAGCAAGCTGCAGCTGATGTGCTGCTAGGAGTTGGTTCCCGGTTGGGAGAGAAGCTGCTGAGGACCTGACCTGGCAGAGCAGATGCTGCACTCTGGATCCTCACTTTTCTCTCAGCTCCCTGGCTGCCATGATGTGGGCTGCTTTCCTTCACGATGTCCTTATCAGTGCTGTTCTCACTCTGGAGCCAGTGACCACAGACTAAATGGAAGCCAGATCAACACTTCTTTATGTTTCAGAATTTTGGTATCTGTCTCAGCTGCGAAAAACATGAACCAAGATTGGGACTAAATTGTTGTGTGGTTAGCTGGGGAGGATGGTGGTGAGGATCATGGTGGAAGAATCAATAAATTGCTGCTTCCATGGAAATGGGAACTGAGTGTTTTGAAATTCTACTTTTTTATTTTTAAATTTTTTTTACCAATTTTTAAAGGAAGAAGGTTTATTTTAACTTGCAGTTTGTATAGGTTTCAGGCCTTAGTAGACTGGCTCCAGAGCAAGGGAGAGCGGCACAGCAGAGGGGCATGACAGAGGAAAAACAGCACACAGCAGGGCAGATGAAATGAAGCAGCCCTTTTAAATAGTCTTGAAACATTGATGCAATGCTGGAGCACAGTAAAAAAAAAAAAAACGCTCATGATCATGTTGCACAGTTTAACAGCTAGAGTTGCTGAGCACTAAACACTTGGCTTTTTTCACTCCTATCCCAACCTATCCTAACTCTCCCTGTGAACAGTAAATTAAACTATTCTAAATTGTGAATTTTTCACTCCAAAATTTTGTGGAGTTGTACACTTACCCAGGTTGGTTCCTGTGGTGGCTTATTCGTTTTCATAGCTGCATATCACAGGTGATATGAATGGGCCACTCATTTACTAAGCAGATACTTATTGTGGACTTGTTATGTGGCACACACCTGTAGGTGTGATGGTGTAGTAGGATTATAACTGCCTTACAAAACTCTTACTTATTTGAAAACTATGTCTGAACATACTTGTTAACTGTCTAGTTAGATAATACTGTCATCTATAAATAGTGACAGTTTTGTGTCTTATTTTCTTCTTTTTTTTTTTTTTTTTTTTCGGACCTGGGGATTGAACTCAGGCCCTTGCACTTGCCAGGCAAGCAATTATTCTACTGAGCCATCTCCCTGGCCCCACTTGTGTGTTATTTTCCATACCTTTTATTTATTGTTTTATGGCTCTAGCTAATATCTCAAGATAGAGATTGTCTTAGTCGCTGTCCTCATCACTGGAACAAAATACCTCAGCAATTTAAAGAAGAGGTTGATTTTGGCTCAAATTGTGGATGGCTCAGTCTTGGTATGATCTGTGCAGTGGCACAAGAGCCTGGACTGAAGAAAGCTGCTTTAATTATGGTGAAGGGAAGCGCCAGGGAAAGTGTAATGCCCTTCGAGGCCACGCCCCCAGTGCCCCTCCTCCAACCAGGCCCCACCTCCTAAGTGGAATCCCACTCTAGCACCCTGTGCTTTCTTCTTTCTTCTTTCTTTCTTACTTGCTTGCTTTTTCTTTCTTTCTTTCTCTCTTTCTTTCTTTCCTTCTTTCTTTGTTCTTCCTTTTTTCTTTTAAATCATCTTTCAAAGCCCTGCCTCCGAACACCTAATGTTCTTAGAGGACACTAGATCCAAAGTATAACATACAGATACATGTCTATATCTGCATCTGTCTTTATATCTTTTTCCAGATTTTGGGCTCTCTATCATTTTCTCTCTGAGTTTAATTCACAATTATTTTCAATTTAGTGTGTCATATTTATCAACTTTTTATTTTATATTCAACTTTATGTGTATGTGTATCTTGTTTAAGACAAATTTTTCTGTCACTATAGTGACAAATGCCTGGAATCTCTGATTCTTGGGAGGTTAATCCAGAGAATCTCAAGTTTGAGGTCCTTTTGGGAAATCTAGTAAGACTCAACTCCTGTCTCTACCCCTATGTTTCCTATCAAATTTTATAAAATTATTTTTATATATTTTCTTCTAAGTATTGTCTTTCATACTAAAGTTTTTGTTCCACTTTGAACTGGTTTTATGCAATATATTGTTTTTAAAAATATAGTATTAAGGGCTTTCTTCTGTGCAGCTGGCCAAATTTCAAAGCTCATTCATTTAATAACTCATCGTTTTGATGACACCTTGGAAAACTATGACTTTCATAAATAGTTTTGGCTTACCTAAAGTTTTTTCTATTATTTCTTAGATGATTAACACAGTGTGTATGTTTTTGTAAAAAGAAATCTTGATATCTTCCTGATAAGTCACCTTATCTTTCCATTTTCAGAAATGTTTTTACTATTCTAGATCCTTTGTCCCTTGTATGAATTTTAGATTCATCTATCAAGGTTGATAATCTATTGACCTGTAAATTTTATAACAGTCTAATTTAAATTACATTGAATTATGAATATTACTTTCAAATTAAGAAAACATTTAAAATTTATTTTTTATTTCTAACTTAATTGAATTTAATTCAACAATATATTACATTTGATGTTAATTGTTCCAAATTGGTTACAAACCTTTGTGAAATATTACGTGAACAGCTGTACATATTCCTAAAAAGAATGCATGTGTTCATCTGATTAGGTATCTAGTTTGATCAACTATCATCTCTCCCTCCCTCTCTCTCTCTCTCTTCTCTCTTTACCCTTGAGATTTTTGGTGAAAAGCTTGAAATTCTCATTTTTTCCTGTATTTTCAACCTTTATATATTCTACTTTTCTGTGTCTCTGAGCTGCACTGTGAGGAATTTCTTCAGATATATTTATCCTGTTCTCTTTGTCTTGCTCAATCTTCTATTTATTCAACATTCTAAACATTTTGCTCATCGTGGAAGTCATTTCATCAATAATTTTTCATTGCTAAAATTTTAATTTAATAATTAAATCAGCCAAGTCATTTGATAGTCTCATATGGGCAGCATCTTTTTAAATTTTTCCTTTTACTTCTTCAAATATTGTATACACAATTATATGCTCCATCTTGGATGACCCCAGTACCTGAAGTTTTGCAAGTCCAAGTCCACTGTTCACTGTTCATTATTTTTGCTGACCTTTTATCAAGCACTCCTTATGTGTTTTTGTTTCGTGTTCTTTCATGAGAAGCATATATTATTTTAGTCTTATCCCATGGTAATCCCCAGCATGCAAGTAAGTGAGGCACCCCACCAAAGAGGGCTTGATGGGACTCTGAGGGTTTCAGCAGAGTCACAGCCACAGGTTTCACCTTTATGAGAGGAAAGAAGATTTATAGCCCCCAAAGGTGATGGAAGCATTGGTCTCCTTCGAAGGATAAGGCTTTGGCTTCTTTTCCTCTGTGAAAACTCTTAAATGTTCCTATTGCCTTCAGTGCTTATAGTTCATTTCTATTTGTTTGTTTGTTTTTTAGAAGAACACAGAAAACAAATGGAAATGCTCAACTGTAGATTTTCTTTACTTTCTATAAATTCTAATATTGATTTAAATTTTGTATTTTACCCAGAATCTACTTGTTTTGCAACAGGAGGGCTCCTTAAAGTCTTAGTCTGCCTTCACTTCAATAAACAAATGGAATGCAGGATTTTGCCTTAAACAATGAGTATTTGGTAGTACTATTCTTTGAGAAATATAATACAAGTGGCGAGTAATACATGACATGTCACATGGTGGGCTTCTCGCATATGAGATGTCTGTGTTATCTCAAAGGTCGGTTTAGATTGGAGAAAGGCTGATTTGTAAAGAAATGTAGTTCATGCTATCAAAAGTTATAAGTTTAGCAAGCGGAGTAAAATTGGGGTAAGTATAATGAGATTGTTAGACTTAAGTAGAGTAGTGGTGGAAGAAAATGGTGCTAGCTGCAGGCTTGATTAGCCAAAAAGAACCTAATTGCCAAGCAAGTGGATGGTCCACTGAGGAGGAGACAGTTTATGGAACGCCTACCCGGTGATTATCTCCAGCTGTCCCTGAGTTTAGCCAGGCATTGTATAGGGAGCTCTTACTACATGCAGCTGAGAGTTCTCTGAAACTGTGTGGGAAAAATCATCAAAATGCTAAATGCTGTTGAAAATAGTTTAGAGTGTGGAAAGAAAGGAGAGCCAAGAAAGAAAATCATGTATTTGAGTTTTCTAGATAGTCAAACAATAAGAATTTGAGTGAACAGGTACCTGGGTAGACTGAAGTATAATAATTGGGTTTATGATTTCAGACTTGAGGTATTTCCAACAGAAGATTGTATAAGTCGTAGGGGTGACAGGGAAGGTTGAGTCAGAGAGATGATCAGTAGCTCAGTGGAGCTGAGGAGGAGGGGCCTGTGACTTGTGGCATTCATTGAGCCCCTTGGATGGTAAAACTTGAAGTAGAGATTATACCTGCATCATATCTAGTTAATGAAAAGGAAGCTGCATCAGAAACTCTTCATTATCCAGAAAAAGTATGACTAGTACTTCACTAACTAGAAGAGGGTTGAAGAAAGGTGTGAATTTTGTGATTCTCAGGTATGACCTGAGTACCACAGTGTGAAGATCATCCTTCCTATCCAGGTCTGTGGGAGACAGTCCTTGGAGGACAGAGAGCTGGGGTTTAGTCCTGACCCATAAACTGTAAAAGTTCCAGCATTGGAGACTATCACTGGTGAAAATTATTTATTATTGTTAATTGTTATTTTATTATAATTATTATTTATTTCTGGAGGCTATAAATAAAAAATAGGCAATGCACCTTTGCCTGGTGACTTTGTTGTAGCTGTGCTAGGATCCACTGAAATAAGCATTTCAATCAGTACTATGTCTTCGTGTGATTTTGAATGTTTATAAAAGAGAGAAAAACTTGAAATGTCTCTTCAACATGTGGCAGATTAAATTTGAGACTGTAAGTAACATAGGCTGAAGCTCTCAGTAAATGTTTAAGATTTAGAATTACTTTTGAAGTAAAAGCATTCTTCCTTCACATACTTATACATGTTATAAATCTTGTCTATGTATGCTGTTTTTCTTTGAGTTTGCACTTTTACTTTTTGACAATATGTCTTTGATAAATGTAGCAGAATAACATTTAAGAAAGATAATAATATAAAAGGTTAGAACCCAGATGAAATCCAAATATCTAAAGTTGGACATACTTTTAATACCTACTTTTCCTGTCTCTCTCTTTCCTATTTTATAAATGTAAATCTTCAGCATCTCTAAATGTGGCCTAGCACAAAAACAATTTATTGCTCACCTTAATTTGAGTGCATTTTATGCTTTATAGCCCAACTTCTTTGCTAAGACTTTTTTTAAATATCTGTGTGATCACTCAAATTGTTTTCCCTTTTGCTTCTCTCCCTAGTCAAAAGAGAAGATGTGCGAGAACACAGAGTCAGTGGGAACCTCTCAAACCACCACAAGCATCCACTCAACAACCACACAGTTCAGGGTCCTAACTACCACACGAAGAGCAGCAACGTCCCAGCTGCCCACCAGCCTGCCCACAGAAGGTGCCCAAGACATCATTTACTTTTTCTTAAAAAAGGAAAATAACAGGGAGAAAGAGGGGAAAAAAGGAGAAGCGACAAAAGTATTATAGAGTGAAAATATGTTGTGAGATTTATTTATACATTGTGTCTTTTTTATGAAGACTTAATGGTTACTTATAATTGGGATTCTTGTTCTCGCTGGGAAAAGCAGAGATTCTTTATATGAGACTTAATTTAGCTGTCTCTGAACTCAACACTACAGTCACATGATGGGAAGTTCAAACTGAGTGAAATGTCCATTGCTTTTGGATTCTGAACAAAAGATCATTGTATTAATGTATAACTCTAATATTTCCTGAATACAGTCAGTATCATAGTCATAACCTATATGGAGACAACATGATCACAAAAATTGTTATTCCTCCTATAGAGAAGGAAGAACTACTACAGTGTTCATATATAGGCACAATTCATGGGGAAGAAGGCATATTTGCCCTCATTTGATAACTTTGCATACTGAATGGTATTGCTAGGAAGTAGGCAGAGATATGAGAACAGTGACCAAGGGGATACTTTCGTGGGAGAAGATAGTCTGACTTAATTATTGTCATAAGCCTTGCCTTCTTCTGAATAGGAGATAAAATTAAATTTGAAACCGTTGCTTTTAACTGAAATTTAATTGGATCCTACAAGGCACTAGCTATAAAGTGATATAGAGAGTGATTGCCAAATGCACTTTATAGATCTTAAAAGCAACATATTCAAACCCATGAAATGGCTCTCTGTAACATAAATTCTACCCTTTAAAACAAAATACAGCCATTCAAATGAAAAGGCTTAGCCTACCGTATGTTCACTCATGACAACATCTTTTTCAGAAATGCTTTTGATTATATTTGTTATCAATGAAAATCCATAAATGGGCAAATGTTGATAAATGCTGACTATTCCAAATAATTTGAATTTTCCTTGATTTTAACTCATAAATGAATAATGTTATAAATACAAGGCCTAATATGAGTTCTTCAAGTTAAAAGTTGATGTAATTGAAGTTGTAACTGTTTACTTTTCTCACGAAACTTTGCTAAAGTTTTGTTCTTATAATTTCTATAAGAAGTTTTAGTACTATATGATGTAAAACTGGTTCTTGCTCTCATTGAACTGATATTTAATTTGATATCATTACTAATTAAGGCAATTAACTAGAAAATTAATAGTCATAGGTTTTATGCACATTTAAAAATCATTTTCTGTCATAATAACTTTGAATTTCTCTTCCAGATGATACAAAGATAGCACTACATCTAAAAGATAATGGAGGTATGAAGTAACCCTCTTCTGTTATAAACATTTTAGGAGCTAATTCATTTTGTTCTTTTTAACATGAGAAAAGACATGGACTTCAAAAGAGAGTCAGATTGTATTTAATTCTATTAATAGTTAACAAGAAAAGAACATAGTTTGCTTGAAAAGTGAATTGAAATCCTAATCCTTGCATTTGTCTATCAAATGATATAGATTATAGTTATATGATGGAGAAGTCATCCATGGATCTTCTTGTTCTTTATTGCACTGCTCCTTTTTTAGTTGTATGGATGATATATTATTATAAGAATGCATAATATTGTTATGTATTGTTAGTAGTACTAAGAGTAATCATCTAAACTGTTGCAGGTCCTGGGTTCATTTTTTTTTAATGGGTTGACTAATTGATCCACCCTGCCTACATAAAATTAAAAAAAAACAAGGGAGTAACTGTGGAAGTGCATTGTGTTAGTCTTTTTAGGTATTCCATAAGTCAAATAAAAATTAATTACTTAGAAGAACACCTTATCAATAACATACTTTTCTAAAACAACTCAGAATTGCTTATACCGGTGTTTGAAAATTTGAAGGAAGAAAGATTTTACCCACAATATATCATGAAAAATATTAACAAGATTTTTTTGGGTTTTTTTGTTGTTTTGGCGGAACCAGGGATTGAACTGAGGACCTTGCGCTTGCCATGCAAGCACTTATTCTACTGAGTCATCTCCCTGCCCCCAACAAGATTTTTAAACATAGTTCTTTTCCTACCAAACTATGTTAGCTCATGTATTCTCCTTTCGAGTATAAAAATGATTTTCATTAGCAATAGACTGTGTGGCTCAAGAATGACAGCTCCCTTTTTTGAAAGCATCTATAGTGATACCTGGTGAAATCGATATCAGCATGGTTTTACTTTTGCAGCCCTATAAGATGTCCTCCGTGGCATTTATATATGTGTATGCATAGACACTAACATGAGGGGGAGGGAGAAAGAAAGAGAGAGACAGACGGACAGACAGACATAGAGATAGACAGTAGAGGATATTTAGCCAGTGCAGGATTTACCAGAACATGTCAGAAACCACTGTATGATCCTAGAAATCCTAAAGTTGAGGTTACTTGAACTTATTTATTTATTACTTATTTATTTTTATTTTATTTCATTTCATTTCATTTTTTGTGGTACCACAGATTGAACTCAAGACCCAGTGCTTGCCAGATAGCTTGAGCTGTCTCCCGAGCCCGGGGTTACTTGAATTTAAGGCAGGAGAAGATGGAGTATGGAATGTGTGGAATGGAGGAGCATTCCCAAGAGCTAATGAAAGTGGAAGTTCCCCAGATGTTAGTTATACTTTTCACTACCTGCTGTGTCTGTGTGCGTACATGCGGTTGTGCGTGCATGCGCCTGTGTGGTATTTTGAAGTGTTAAAACAGAAAGCAGAGGATTCCTTTGATCAAATAGGTTGTGAAATCCACTGATTCATTCATTCACTTCTGCTGAATACTTGCTAACCGCAGAGCCTTATTGCAAACTTGAGGCCATTGTGAAAAAGGCTTACACAAATGCTTTGTTTTAAGAGAATATACATTCCAAAGAATCTTCGAAATGATTAAAAAGACTTTCTACCTGGACTTTTTGGTTATAAAACCTTTTATTAGTAGCATCACATGAACTTATAAAGTATTAGTAATTATCACAATAAAATCCTTACTATTGTTTAAAGCATTACTAAATCATAACTGAATATTTTCTTAAAGCAATGCATTAGAAATACTGCAAGATGCTAAGAAATCAAGTAAAATAAATACCAAGATTAAAATGTAGAGCTTCTGATATGCTAGACAGTGAACTGTTTTATTTTCTTATCATACTGAGATACTTTCTATGCAGCAGTTTTCTGTTAGGACTCCAACACAGTATTTTTTCTCATGTCTAGAATTTTCAAAGATCTTTTCTAACAACATTCAACTGGAGGTAGAAGAGAAAAAGTGTTTTTTGTTTGTTTGTTTGTTTGTTTGTTTGTTTGTAACATACTTCTTCAAAAGCGTACTTGGCTCGTGTTGTGGCTTTAGTGGTAGAGCACAACTCTAGCATGTAGGACGCTTGAGTTCAGTCCCCAACCCCAGGGGCAAAAAATCCTGCTGCTTAAGGAAAAAAATCACATACTACTTCTTATAGTATTTTTTATTAAAATAAAGTATGCTCTCATAGTGAGCTGCCATTTATTTTATGGAATGTAAAGATGCAAGAAAGATTGCTAATTTAAATCCTAACTTCATTAGCTAATTATAAATGTTGCAAACAGAATTTAGAGTTGTCCTTCCCCTTGGCTTACCATGTTTTACAAGGTTGAGGTAAAAATGAATAATTGTGTCTAATGAACAAGCTTTTGTAACATTTTATTATGAGTGATATTTTTTAAAACATGCAAGCTAATAAATTTTCATACACTGCTATTGTTGCTAAGAAATTTAGCACATTTTGTTTCTTTGTTTTTTTTATATAATTGGCTGTCTTTGAAAGCAATTTAATTCATTAATGTATATTCCTCTGGAAAAGAGGGTGACATTTTCAAAATTGTCAATGTACAGCTAGAAAACAATGACTGCCTTCCCATATATTGTGTCCTTTAAGTGTCGCATGATCTCATCCCTATGTCTTTCTGTAGCATTTCTATGGTTAAAGCATTTGCGTTTTTTAAAATGAAATCCAGATTATATGGTATACATTTGCTTTCCAGTAGACTTTTCCTTTGTCTTTGATATGAAAGCATAAAATATTTTGCTTAATTATATCTTTGCTTAAGCATACAATGACAAGTCACACTGGTCATTCTCTCATTCAGAGGACCCAGGCTTACTTACTACATCAGTCTGGATGGCTCTTCAATTTTATGTTGAGTTTCCTGATACATAGCAGATTCAGGATAGGTGGAGCCTCTTGCAAAATCAAGCTGGATGATTGACTACAGAAGTTGTATTAGCCTTCAAAGCTGAATGAAAAGTCTGAGCTATTTAAAGATTGTGAAGATTAAAAAAAAAATCAGCCAGATAGCTCAGTGGACTAAAACGATGATCGCTTAGGCAGGTGCAGGGACGGAGTTATCCTTGGCGTGCCATTCCAGCCCAGTTCCCAGGGTGTACTGAGGTGGTGATTGAGACAGGGTATGGTGGTGCACACCTGTAATCCCAGCACTTGGGAGGCTCAAAACAGGAGAATCACTATGAGTCTGATCTGTGTAGTTAGACCCTATACTAAATACATTAAAAAAAAAAAGAATTTGAAGAAAACATGAGCAGGTTCTACCACAAAAGCAGTAGCTAATGAGTGCAGGTCTCATATATATTGAGATATTACCTTGATTGACTACTGTAAATGACTAAATATAAAAATCTTAAGAGATCTAATTTAATGACAGCATTTTATTTGCACCTAAAATATTGTTAGCTGCATGTTTATAATATTAAATGTAGAATAACATATATAATCCTAATCAAATCACTTACTGGTCTCCTTTTTATAGAAAAAGCAGAAGAACTGGGGGAAAGGAGGAGGCTGACTACTGACTGAATAGTTCCTGTGTTCCAGTCATTATTTTAAAAGCAATACACATATAAACTTGTGTAAATTATAGCACTTCTGAGCTGGCCCCATATCATTCCTATTTTACAGATAAGGAAATGGAGCTACAAAAAGAAATTTGCCACAGTGATGTGGAACAGAGCCTGAAAGCTGCAGGCTCCATCCCAATTTCAAGTTCTAATGACTTCCCAATATCCCTTCTCCCTTGTAGGAGCAGCTTTAGCAATCAAAGTGCACCTGAGATATTTTATTTACACCTCTTACATGTTTTACTTTTTTATAACAATTGATTATACTTCTCAGTGTTTGCAAGTGAATTTTCATCATCTCAAATATTTATGCATCCGTTTCTATTTTATTCCTTTCATGAAAATCACAGTGCAGTAATTCTCTTGTGTAACGGAGTGCTGCCAGAATCATCAGCATATGGTCTCCAAACTGTCGGTGTATCCTGTGGTTTAAGTTCCAAATCTAATTGTAATGTCTTTCAGATTCTTTTAGAAATTCAAAATTTAATTCACCTGTCAGAAGTATTCTAGACTGTGTTCTTCAAATGAACTGTTTGTCAGGCATGGTAGTATGTCCCTGTAATCTGTAATCCCAGCATTCAGGAGGCTGAGGCAGGAGGATCATAGCAAGTTTGAGGCCAGCCTGTGCTACATCATGTGTTCAACACCAATCTAAACTACATAGCAAGACCATGTCTCTAAATAAATAATTATGGGTCAGCCAAATAGCTCAGTGGATAAAAGGGACTGCAAGCAGGGGCAGGGGTGGGGGTTCCATTCCCGGCCTGATGTGCCAGCCACACCCCTGGGGCACATTGAGACAGCAATTGAGATTGGACGAGTTGGCACCTGCCTGTAATCCCAACTCTTGGGAGGGTGTAAACAGGTGGATCACTACGAGTCTGATCTAGAAGTAAGACCCTGAAAACCCTGTAGACCCTAAAAATACAAAAAAAAAACCCTAATTAATTAATTAAATGCACTATATATTTGGGTAATGTTTATGTATACTTCAAGCAACATCTTCTTTGAGTTTTCAAATCAAGTGCTAGTTTATTAGATTGTAAGACTTATTCCTTAAAGAATGACCCAACTATGTATTTCACCTGTTGTATCAGAAAAATGCCTTCTTTAACATTTGAATAGGTTCCTTTCCAATGACACTCACCACATAATTATTGCAGTGCACTTTGTAATAGCTAAACAATCCCTGAATGCCCACCAACCAATAATGGATAAAGAAGATGTGGGGCTTTTTATGCAATGAAGTACTAGTCTGCCTAAATAAAAATAAACTAGAAACTTTTCTAGGTAAGGGAATGCAACTTGAGACCATATTCTTAAGTGAACTAAATTGGACACACATGTGTAAATACCTCATTGTTTCTCTGGTCTGAGAAACTGAAAGTGTAAACAAGGAC